TTCGGCGTCTCGACGCCGAATCCTCGCACGGTAGAGAAACAGTGTCAACAGTGCTCGTATTCGCAGTTTTGGGGGCCTTCGGTCTCCAAAACTGCGAACCCTCGCACTGTTCCCCGCCACTGCAACCCTGTCCCTACTATTATCACTAATTGAAATCACCCCATTTTCATTTTATTCATAATTAAATACACATCCATATTTTTCCACCACAAAAAAAAATTAAAGTACTCTCAGTGCTTCTCACATAAGCACGCATGACCATAAATATAACCACCAAAAAGATAAAGACATGTTGCACCACTACGTTTCTCAAAAAGATCGTCAATACGATCATTGCTCCAACGATTCCAATCTTCCCGTGTAAAATTCTCCCAATTGCATATCCAATTCCAAGTTGCTTGATCACCTTTAAAATGCCAATCACGACACTTGTGACACCGAGCGCAAGGACGACCTTTACAACTTAATTCCATACCAGAAAGATCGAATTCTTGAGCTTCTAAATGAAAATATTAAGTTACACCATCATACACAGAAGAGATTGTGAGTTCAGTAAACTCTTAAAAACCACTGTATAATTTCAATGACATTTGTGAGCATATTGTATCAAGATACTTTTAACACTCGACATCATTTTTAGTAGTGGACAATGGGACGAGCCGACGAAAAAGTGTTCATTTTAATACAAATATCCTTCATTCAACATAAAGTGGTGCATTTCACAGGGAGACAGAATCGAAAAATATAACTTTGTATCTATCATTCACTATTCTTTTCTATACATATCGATTCTAACGAACGCTGGTTTCTTGGAGTGAAAAACTAGTATGATTATTATTTTCTTATGAGCTTTTTATTTCAACTTGTGACTTTAGAACTTGTTGAAGTCTGCGAGTGTCGGCGCGACTCTTTGACCACATATATACACCTAGAATAACACCCTCATCAAAACTCGCATTTACATGGATACCATCACTTCATTTCACGTTTTCTCAAAGTGTGATTTCGGCGACATGTCTAGAGTGACTCTCATGGTCTTATTTCTGCAAAAGATGATTGATAAAGGAAAAGTCGCAGCTGCCGAATGTTATAGAAGACCCAAAAAAACATAAAAAATGAGTAATATGTATCGATCAGAACTACTATAATTGAAATAAAGAATGAGAAGCAAAGCTGAAATTTATCTTCTGAGATGAGAGACAAGAAACCAAACAGAAAATCGCATTTTTCATAGAACTTTTAGTTGAAACTAACAGAAATTGAAAAGCTGACCATTGTTTTGACACAAGTATTTTTTAAATATTTTTCAAGACTCTTGATATCGAAAGCGACTATACTAGCACTAGCTATTTGAAAATGACACTCTAGACAGTAAGATTTGTCCACTTCTTTATGTCGGATACACTCATTCAGTATCAGTTATTGTTAATATTAAAAAAGCTATCTTAATTCATATTATCCAGAAGAAAGCAACTAACTTATCTGAATTAGTAAGCCATTCTAAGTCTGCGAATCAGATCAGGTACGAGAACATGAACTTGAAAAAGAGAGATTTCAAAAATATAAGTAAAGCAAGATGCCAAACTGATGGCACAAAATGTCTTGGCATATTTTTCTTCGTGAAAAGAATACTGCAAGAATTTTTCCTCTTGTTCAAATCGTACAGAACTTATTTTTATAACACTCTCAGAAACGAAACTATGCAAAAGAGAAGAGAAGCACTCTGAAAAAGTATCTGCATTTTCCTATAAAAGGGCTGCTTAAGATGTCGGCTAATATTTCTCTTCAATATATGAGTTTCGAAACGAATATTTTTTTTGTCAATTCACAGAATGTCTTCTGTTTTATAGAATGTATGATTCATATGTGTCACTCATAAGTAGCTGAAGCGAGAGGAGAAAAAAACGAAACAATCGCGCAATAAATTTAGATTTTGATATGAATTCGTTAAAAATATCTTGCAGATAACAGTTATTTATATTTAACTGCCAGTTTACAAGATGCTTTCGGCAAGTTTATATAAAAAGTATTAATTTAATGTGAGATTATTTCTTCTTTTTAATGTCTGATTTCATTTACTAAGGTGTGAGGAATACGAATCATAAGCT